GTGACCAAATAATCATTGTTGTGTTCATCAATTTTGACTGCCAAGACCATGCATCATTCGTACAACCCTCACTGTTATCATTTGAACAACTCGAATGGCCCGTCGAATTGTTTACCGGAGAGAGGCGTTCACTGTAGCATAATGGACTACTCATTGCGGGAACTAGCAATGTTCACTTACCACCGCAAAGCCGAGGAATCCAACAACAGCGTTTACGAATATCACATTGAAAACGATTGGATGTATAATGACCAACGAGCATGTCAAAAACAGCTCATTACTCTCCCACATTCTGCTGTCAACGAAATCGCGAACCACCAAACCAAATGCAGCTATCGCCGACAATAGCCACTGAAATCACGCTTCAGTTTTCGATACATTTCGCTTGCGCTGATCACATGAAGCCTGAGAATATACTCATTGATTGAGTCATAGGTTAGAGAATAACAGTGACTGATATTCGCACTTATTCAATTCTTATTCTAAATTGTTTGCACAGCTTCATAGCATTGTTTTAAATTACTTTTGAAGTGAATCAAGATCATTTCTTAGGAACAGGGAACTGTTAAGCAGGTGCAATGAAATTTGAGCATTTTTCTTGCTCAGAATCCACCGCGGAATCAGTTGGATTATATGCGCGAACAGGTTTAATGGAAATGCTGACCTGAAAGGATACCAACGACATCGTGAATTTTTTTGATTCGCTGCTCTCGTAATANATAGACATATCATAGATGAAACGTGCAATCCAACATTGATAGTTGAGGAGAACCTGAAGGTGATTCCGAGCTGATTTTCATCTCTAAAACTGGTTCAGGGGCTATTCCTAGATACCTACCCAAATCTACCCAAAGGCAGATTCACTGCTCCGTTAAACTAAGCCTTCCTCGGCTGATTTCACTTATATGAATCATCATTGCACCTGAATGCCACTCGGTTAAAACGTTTGAGTTCTACGTATTTCTGAAGGGTCGAGAAAAAATTAGCAATATCACTGATTTCGTTGACGAATAAATTCACAGATTCTAACTGATACAGTGATCATGTACGTTGCAGCCAGACGAGATTCGCTCATCACCATTTGCCATTTAATCAAAAATGAGTCATTATTTTGCCACTAGGATCGCGACAGTTATTGCTCCCCATTTCGCGCTCATTCTCTGTGAACAATTTCCGACGAAAATTTGAATCACTAACTGTGAATTCATCATTTGAATACAGTAAGAGACAGTACATTGCGTGATTCCAAATGCGAGTAATGTTGAATACCGTTAATGTCACATCCAAACTTTGCTGAAAGAAAGCATCTTTTAAATTAGCGGATCTGATGGACCTGAATCTGGAAATATGATGCGACACCCTAGCAGCTCTGAATTTTGTCTCCTAGTAAGGGAAGCTCCAATTGAAAATGCTATTCGTCGATTTTTAACCACCTAGAGCTTCAGTGTCGAAAATGCAGCTGTCTTGAGTTTACATACATAGTTCACATATTTATAAGACTTAGTGCAATCAGATAAGCACACGACTGCGATTGAAATTGAACAAGCAAGTGCTTGAAACACATTG